TGCTGGAGTCACTGCCAGCTCAGGGTGCGCTGGCCGTGACGGGCCAACATGAACTGCCCGACAGTAGGAAACAGCCAGAGCCTCTTGGATCTTACTGGAACAAAAGCAGGAAAGGCAGAGCGCCCTGATGAGTACAGCGGCCTCACGGAGCTGAGCAAGTCCCTAGTGCTGCTGGTGGCCAGAGACTACTTGGCTACCAACCAGCTCAGCTCACCCCGATGGTTCCAAAGCGGCGCAAGCGCCAGCAGGGCAGCGGGAGCAGCAGAGCCCACGCAGGAAAAGCCGCGTTGGTACCGGTCTGACCGCAGCCGTGCTCGGTGCAGAACCACGGCTCAACTCGGAGCAAAAGCCCCCCGGGCCGCTCCTTCCATCCCGCCCCACGCGGTCCAGCCTCGGTTCCCCCTCCCCGAACCAGCGCTCGGCCTCATGGCGGGCACCGACCCACGACTGTCGCTTCGGCAAGGAAGAGACAACCCCCCCCCCGCCGTAATCTCTATTTAATCTTTCAGCGAGAGAACTAACACGTTTCAAGCGAGTCGAAGCTGCGGAGCATTTCAGCACTGCGGAAACTAAGTTTCTCGTATTTTGCCGCCCGGCAGCGCCCGATCCGCGCCGCGGGAGGCGGCCGCGCTCCCTCCGCACAGCCCGGCCTCAGCTGCGGACAAGGGGCCCTTTTCTCTTTTAAAGACACTTTTGTTCGCGTCCGATTGTTCTTTTTCTTCCCCTAATGCGCGATTATCACCCAGAGAGTCTTAAAAAAAGGCTGCAGAATTGCAGCGTTACCCAACCTTAAAAGCAGCACTATGTGCCTGAAACACACGGAAGAACACACAGTAGCTGAGGAAAAAAAATTAAAATTGAAAACGCAGCATGAAAATATTCACATGATTAGGCTCAAACCTTTGTTTCCAATAATTTATAATCACGCTCCTTTACTTTTTTTCCCCCCCCCTAAACAGGAGTACCTCACCTAAGCTACTCCATGTGCTCAGCAAGCTGAAAAATAGTAAATATTCGGCAATTACAATATTTCTTTTTTGAATTCACGCTCTCTATAGCTCTTCTGTAATTCTGTGCTTTTCTACAAAAATATTCAGTCTTATGAAAAAAAAATGGAAGAAAGCCGAGTTCCCAGCAAAAACTGTCAAAAACATACAATTCACACCAAATCCTTTAAGGTTTCTTACTACATTCTGTATGCTGAAGAAAGTTACTAATGCATTAATTTGCAGTATTTTCCATCTTATATGTACTGCAAGATGAACATTTCCTTACATATTTGAGCAAACAAAGCATTTAAGGCAATAACTGTTCAAAGTGACTTTTTATTTTAAAGGCTCAAAAAATCACCTCACTAGATTTTGAATGAGAACTAAAACTTTTATCTATTGTACAATAACATTTTAAAAGACGTGGAAATTGCAATAATTTATAACATGATCTCTTGCAAATGCAGTTGCTTAGCAAAGTGTCACACACACACACACAAAGGCACAGAGTACAAAAAAAAGGTCAAAGTTGTAGCAAAACAGAATTTTCACGCGTGGATTTTCAAGTGTAAACTATATTTGATATGTAAAAAATATATATGCATATCTGGACCTATATGCAAGAAGCAAGGTTATCACAAAAAAAAATCCATTTAAACCTGCTGTTTCGCAAAATAGAAATTGCACCAAGGTAAGGTAAGGAATCCAGCAAGCACCAAATACCCGAGACAAATAAGTTCTCCGAAAAAAAGAAGAAAGGAGAGGGAAAAAAAATCCGGTCGTTCACCCCGCATTCAGCTAAGCAGTTATTTTACTAGCCCAAGAGCTCGCACAGGCACGAGTTTCGGGAAGTTTTCCCGCACATAAAATATTGAAAGAAACAAAGTATCTGAAAAGAAAGGGAAATCCGCACGTGTGACTTCTGCTGAGATTTGCTGAATGAAAAGGGTTTTAAGAGACACAGCTTGAACCCTCTAGAGATAGAGAATGCAGTAATTAAGTTTTCAGGTTTTCTTTGCATAAACCGCAAAACGCTAGGGCATGATACCACGAAGGGGACACCTGGCGACATCAGAAATAGGCGCGAGGACGGGGAGACTCCTCGGCAGCGCTTGTTGTTGCAGCCCGGGATGCACCAAAGTTTCGGCTCGAGCATGTTCTGCGCACGGCGGGGACCGCGAGAGCTGCGCCACGAGCACCCCCAGCACCACGCGGGCGGCTGTGTCATTTGAGCGATGTCAGCCCGTCTTAAACCCGTTTTTCTTGGCCACTTTACACAGGTGCGGACAGGACACAAGCGCACAAGCCCGAGAGCGGGAGAAGAGCGAGTACCGCGGAGCCGCGGAAGGGCGACGGGGCCCGGCCCGGGGTCGCTCGGGGCAGCGCCGCTGCCGAGACCCGGCCCCGGGCTCCTCCAGCCCGCAAAGACCACACGAGACCGGTTCCTGGGTAAATGGTTTATGTAAGTAATAAAATATTTACTATAACATAAATAGAAACGTACCCTCGCAGTCTACATTTTTTTTCCCCTCAATAAAGATACAAACAAAAACCGAACCCAAAGGGGAGGAACCGAACCTACCAACGGGAGGGCGAGAGCTCCGCGCACGGTTAGCAAATAAATAGAAACGGGCCGGGAGGGAGCCTCGGCGTGTCGTCCGGGCGAGCGGCGGGCCCGGCCGGCGCCGCCGGGGAGGGAATAAATTAGAGCTCGCAAACCTTTGGCTACTGCTGCTGTGTCCGGCAGCCGGCGCCCGGGGCGGGCCAATAAATACGACGGCGGGGGGGGGGGGGC